TCTTCTATAGGGGCTGAGGAAACCTAGCTGTTGGGCATGAAACAACAGAAATGTCTTATGCTTCTGATGTTAAATGACGTACAGATTATCTTAAAGGTGAACACTGCTACCTTTCTAGTGGAGGGTGCTTGTCTCCATGGAGATCTTCAACTTTGATTGTAATGCTCCACAGTATAGCATTAAACATATAAATGCAAGTATGCTGCAATTATCCTCAGAAATACTTTGATACCTTGAAGTCATACATTTTTGGTGTAAGTGGGTTCGCCTTTCCTCAAATCTGGCCTCTGTAACTTGCCAGGTAGCATCATCTGCTTATCTGCATAGATAAATAATTTTATTGTCATTCTGTAGAAAAATAATGGCAAGCTATAGCATTTTAAGTTTTAAAAATGAATGTTTACAAATCTTGTGTGCAATAGAAATCATACAGACTACATATACACAGTAACTATTGCTTTGGTTTGAAATTTTAGTTAAGATCATACGGGTTGTTAATAAGACATTACATTACTGTTCAATTATTGATCAGTTTTCATTTAGTGGCACAAGCTACCACACTGAACTCAAAGTGGAGTAAGAGTCATATCACTATTTTATATGAGATTTGTTTCGACAGACGGCTGTGTGAGTAAATGCTAGCTTTCCTCTTACTGAAATCTGTTCTACGGTACTGAATGAAGTAGTACTGCACAATTTTAGAAAAAAATCCAAGTGCAATTTTTCTGGCGATTTGATTTGCAGTATAAGTTTTAAAAAGTAGGACTGAAGTATTAACAACTCGAGAGGCATTAACATATGAGAGAAGACTGAAGTGTGAACTGATAAAATAATACAGCTCATGAATTTCAGAAGATGTTTGTAGTGGTCTAAACAACAGGTACAACAAGAGCCTTCTATAGAAAACCAAATATTTTATTATTTACATAGGCCATTCTACTATCTAAACAATTACAGCTCTTGCCATTTGATAACTGCGCCAACTCAAACTGCGATTTCACTTTGATTACGATATATGGTGTAGTGATTGTGCAGCCCCTTGCCTCCCCCATGTACTGGCTGGGCTCGGTGCTATGTGGACTGGAGTTGTTCTCGGTACATGTTAGAGCTCAGTCTGGTGCTGTGGGCTGAACGCCATGCTCTCATTTCAGCATCTCTGGGGAGGGCTGCACCATCACACAGACATGATTGAATCTGTTTCCGCGCTCCATTTTCACTGCTTTCTCCCGGAGTGGCTCAACCTGTGCCCCCAGCATCGCACTGTTTGTTATCAGCACACCACATGTTTTCCCATTTCTAAGAGTAAATAGTTTATCTAAAATGACTGCATGAACTGCTGCATGATGCTTAAGCACTTGGCAAAGGGTGAAAAATATTTTAAAAATGTTCCACAACCAACTAGGCCATTGCTGTGCTCTCCAAAGGAGCAGCACCATATATCGGAATCAAATCGGAATTGCATTTTGAGTTGATGCTATTATTACATCTTTTAATTGTGTTATTCTATTGATTTTTTTATTTTGTGTTATTTTTTCCATTCTGTCTTTTTATATAAAAATCTTGTACATGAGCTGAAATGCAGTGGATTCCTCTTGTTTATTAGTTCATAGTAGTTATATTAGTTATAACATGTTATAACAAGTTTCATAACATGTTACAATTCACACTCTGAACAGATTACTACTTTTATCATATTTTTACATATATCACAATACAACAAGAAAAATCAGTTAGATTTTCTTTCCAAAATCCTGTAGCTCAATTCTCCAACATGTGCTCTATGTTGATAAACACTTGTTGCTGTGCTTGTGTTTTGCAGACGGTGATATGCATTGAGGATGAGTGGAGTCAGTGAAAACCCATCTGACCCTGCTAGGGCAGAGTCACGAAAACGCAAAGAATGTTCAAACGAACTTTTAGGACCCAGGTAAGGCCACTGTTGTTAAATCTGAAAGAGCATTTCAAGTACGTATTCAATGATGTTACATTATGGCCTAGTAATCTTGCACAAGGGAAATAATGCTATTTTCAAATAAACAATAACAATATCTTAGTAATATTATTAAACATAGTTATCAATGATTGCACTTTTCTGACATTCTGTTAATTTTGAACTGAAAATATAAATCCATATAGTTAATAGTAGTCTACACAACACAAGATAAATTTGCATTGAAGGCCTATGTTGCACTAGTAACAAGGCTGAATTAGGACTACATTTGGAAAATCTGGACCACTTTTTAAAGAAAACATGTAATTCTTAAATGGGCATCCTTGCAGTACATGATTCTTAATTTATTGTGATAATGTGGAACTATGTATTCAGTGGTAATGAGCACTTCACAATAGTCTAAACTGATATTTCGGTTTAATTTCTATAACACTGAATTTGGTTCTAAAAACTATTCCTGAGTAAAACATTGTCATCCCAGCAGCTGTTAGCCGCATTGCTTGAAATTGTCACATTTTTGTAACTGTAGTCCCAAGAGGAGCAACGAGAAGCGCAACCGCGAGCACGAGAACAAGTACATCGAGGAGCTTGCCGAGCTGATCTTTGCCAATTTCAATGACATCGACAACTTCAACGTCAAACCCGACAAATGTGCAATCCTGAAGGAAACTGTGAAACAGATCCGACAAATAAAGGAGCAAGGTAGGTCTGAGTCTGAGTGTGTTTGTGTTGAAATCATATTTGGTCTCACTATTGCTGTGTATCACATGAGGCTCAAGGCTGGCGATGGCATCAGGTTTAATAACTTGTATTGGTTTGACTTCTTGCTACGTACAAGAAATAATGTTGTTCACAGCCGACAGAACAATTGATGTATTGCTCCTTCCATCATATAACATTTATAAAGCCCAGTTGTTTTCACTTCTCTCCCTCTTCCATTAGGAGCCAGAACATCAGGTGAATGCTCAGAGCAAGCTTGGCTGTCCTCTCTAGTGCCATTAAACAATTATGGAAGGCTTTCTTTCACCATTTTTGTTCCAAGCAGTATTATTACACTTTGGGTTTGTAGCTTTCACACACAGTCATTAATGAGTACACCATATATATGAAACAGCTTAGGTGGTACAAAGTGTGGGCCAGCCTGGGTCTACATGAATCACAGGCTCTGTGACGTCACTGTTTGTGACTCACAGCCCAGTGTTATGTAATCTAATGCAAAAGTGACAAACTGGCTGCGGCTGTCCACCCCCCACTCACTCGTCCATATTACTCTCCCCCTCCTCTTCCTTTCCTCTGCTCTTTTTCTTTGACTGTGCCCTTCTCTGCTCACCTCTGGACACGATGTCTTTGTACATTTCTCATTCAGAAGACATGATTTGACTTTTTGTCTGTGAAGTCCAAATCAAAGAAAGCATTATTGTTTGTTGGACTATGTCAGTGCCCACATGCCCACCTTGCTGGTGGTTTAGTCTGTGAGCAGTGGACAGAGTGCCCCTCCTGACACTGAGTGATGGCGCAGTAGCGGGGCAGCTGTGCTGGTGTGGCGGTCCCCGCTGGGCTGGAGGTGTCCTGCTGCTGTGCACATCATTAATGCTGAAGGAGATGGATGCGCCACTGGCCACAGAGCACAAGGAAACCTGCATTTGTGTCGGCTTCTGCATTTGTACACTCTGCAAAGGGCCATCTTTTAGTTTGCTTTTTGACACATTTCCTCACCATATGGTCAGTCCTCTTCTTGGCATGGTGTGACAGTAAAATGTCCCCCAACAGCCCACTCATATTCTGCTTCTCATCTCCAAAAGTAGGGCAGCCTACGCTTGCAACATAAGGCTTCTCTGCTTGGTTATTAACCCAGTGTACCAAGGACCAACTCTAAGTCTGAGTACTATAGGTGCAGGTCTGATGCTAAAATGAAAAACAAAACATTTCGTTAGTGTCTTAATTACTGATAAAAATTGGAGTCACTCCTAGTTTGGTGTTTGTGTTGTGAGATGTGCACAATAGTGTACAGGTAAGGTGTACTGTATCTACCAGTCTATCGTGCTGCTTCATCTGCTCATAAGCCTTTAGTTAAACATAAACAGTGTGTCTGTGTGATGCTATTCTACCTCCAAAAGGAGGGATTCTGGGTTAATTACACTAAACATATTTTGATGATAACCTTACCTTTCAATTGTTTTTTTTATGTTATAAAGAGAACATGCATATTTTCTTTCTATAGATTTGTTATTGCCTCAGTCATCTTTTCTTTCCTTCAGTAGAGTCCACTCTGTATGTAGTATGCTTGGACCCAAGACTTTATCTGTAATTGATCAAACAACGATGGAATGCTACTGAATTTAACATTTTTGGGTGACCTCAGAAAGTGAAACTGTTGAATTATTATTCATAAGAAAATTATTTAACAGTGTTTGAGGGTCTTTGGGATTAAAAATAAAGCCATATACCAAATATGATGAACCCTATGATTTTGTTTTTACAGAAAAAGCTGCAGCAGCAAATGAGGAAGAAGTGCAGAAAGCTGATGTGTCTTCAACAGGCCAAAGTGTGATCGACAAAGATGCCTTGGGACCAATGATGCTGGAGGTACTGTCTTTTTCAGCTAGCCTTTTATTGTATGGCATATTTAATGACTTTGTCCAGCTAAGAAATGTTTAAATGTCCATTTTATAACTTTTCTGGTGGGTCGTCCGCCACCTGCTTTTTTCCATGTAGATGCAATTGCTTTATTTTAAATGCTTCACAGTATGGCATTAAACTTTTATATGATCATGGAGAACAAAGCAGGCCAAATTATTGGTCAGATCTGTGGCGAGGCAACCCCACTCGCAGTCAGAATACTTGTATTCCACATTGGAAAGGAGGTGTAGATTACTTGTATTCTGACTGCAGACTGAGCAATAAAAAACACCTATAATTGAATAAATGTAAGGTAGAGCTGTTTAATGTCATATTGTGGAGCATTCAAGCAGAGCAATGACATGTCCATAGAAACAGAAGATGACGGACCCCCAACCAAAAAGTTACACAGTGCACCTTTAAAAAAACATACACCTAATCTACACCTCCTTTCCAATGTGGAATCCTTCTGCTGTTAGCAACATGAATGGAATATGGGAAAGTAAACAAATGAGCTTAGAAGCTGCACAGGAGAACTCCAGAGTTATATCTGTGACACAGCTAAACAGGCAAAATGCAAACAGACCATTTTTGAGTGCTCAGAGAAGACTGCTTTGGATTAATGGATTAATGAACGAAACAAAAATACAACTCCAGGTTACGGGGATGAGGGGATAACTTTAGACAGATTATTTGTTTATCAACACAGCAGATGCGCACGCACCCTGAGTGCAGAAAGCACCTCTGTCTCTGTGGTTAACATGAAGCTGCAAAGCTAACTAGTGATGTTGTCAGCACTCTAAAACAGTTTATCACTGTGTGATAAAATAAATTATGATGTGAAATTAACATTCGTGAGTGAGATACATCTTAATAATCCATATGTGTTAATTAGTGGTGAGTTTGTAAATGATGAAAAGAAATGGCTCAAACTTCAGTAGCCGGACATCCATTCATACCTGATCGACACGACTAGCTTAGCCCCTGAGAGAGCCTGAAACCTGATGAAATCCTACAAGACACTACTTGATAAAAGATAGGACAGCAGTTCTTTCTGCAGGAGGCATGCTCAGTAGTCTAGTGACATAGTCTGATATGTCTCTATATGACATGGTTAAAAATATAATATGTGTTCTTAAAACTATAGCATTAATGCATTCCAAACATGAAGGAAAGATTTAAACTATTATTATTTAATAAAAAGAGCAGCAGTAGTCACTGACAGGCTCCTGGGGACTTAAGAAGAGTCTTTATTCAAAAAGACCGGTACTTTGTACAATGGCTGTCTAATGGAGAGCACTATGTGGAGCATGGGCTCAGATGTGCCACTGGTGGCGGTGTGCGTAAGTGTAGCTGATTGGAGTGAAAGCTGCCAGCATCTTGGATGTGTCCCGGATTGGCTGTAAATCACAGACAGAGCAATGGCCTCGTTGTCCTGCAGAGGGCCACTGAAGTGCTTACGTATAATGAGACCCAAAGCAACAACCCCCCGAATGAATCAGTCCATTGAGCTGTGCTTCCTCCCTCCCTCTCTCTTCTTCTCTGTTCTTGCTCCCTCCTCCATAGCCTCCTCATTTGCCTCTAGATCTGTCCTGTCATTGAATATTTATAGCCCTCCCAGTCCAGCGTCACTGAATCGACATACTAACTCTCTGCTAAATATAGTTCCGCGCAGGCTGCATGCTTTCCCATCTGTCAGTGGGCCCCAAAACATAGCGACTGGTCATTCACACCCCCTTTGCCTAGTGTCCCACCTCTCTGTAGGATGCTCTGAGCACAAGGCTGTTGGCAGGAAGTGTACCTACGCTGCCCACAGCCCTACAGCACAATGCCCTCAGACTTTGTGTGGATCTGCCAACATGACGTCACAGGGGCCTCCACACACTTTGTTATGTAGGCCGTAGTTGAAACTATGGTCAAGGAAGGTTACAGTAAGTTTAGGATTTTGGATATAGAAAAAAGCACAACCATACAGTTCTGCCTCAAAGCACCCGTGCTTGCCTGGATGGTGTCAATATAAGAAGTGATTAGGGTTCGTGATATGATTTTAATCGATTTTCAAAGTCAAAGTCAGAGCAGGGACTGCTCGTCTTTCAAACAGCAGATGTTTACATTTTCATTCTTATCATTGCTATAACTTAAGAAGTTGTAAACAACCGTAAATTACATTTGAAGAAGTAGCAGTGTGTGAGGAGGAAATACAAAGGGAAGTGGAGGGAGGGGGAGAAGTGGCTGCACAGGCTGGTGAGGTCATTTTGTGGGATTTTATCATACATCATTGGAAATGGAAAGGCTGCTCACTGCAGTAACAGAGACCCGATATATGTTTGTTTGTAAGTTATGTTTGGTTATTTGTAAGCTGTGTTTACGTAAGGGTGCACTGGTATTGAAAGCTAGATGCCCATTCGGTTCATTCAGCTATAGCATTTAGCCTTAACAGAATTCCCATTTCAGTCTAATTTGACATCTGAGCTGCCACCATCTTGATCTGGGGCTGTGTTTTGTTTTTTGTTTTTTTTGTTTTTTTGTTGTTGTTTTTTTCAATTAACCCTCCTCTGCTCTCCATAGAAATGTATTCTTTTATGATGTATCTTGTCTAATGTAGCAGTTCAGTGTTGTAGATGGATGTACCCAGCACAGACTGTACTAAACTTGTCTTTGAGACACAATGCAAATGACAGCTAATACACTTTTGATAAGAGGCAAATTCAGGACTGTGTGTCCATGACACAATTACGCTGTTGCTCTATACTGGCTACTGGTACTATTTTGTTTGCTTTGTATAGTGCATTTTATATTATTCACTCAATGATTTTGAAATGTGTCATTATATTATTCTAAACTTATGCCTAACATGAAATATATGGGAATTAAACCATAGGTGTCAATATTTTGCTTTTTTGATCTTTCTCTTTATTCCATCATTCTGTAGGCCCTGGATGGCTTCTTCTTTGTGGTGAACATGGAGGGGAACATCGTGTTTGTGTCAGAGAATGTGACCCAGTACCTGCGCTACAACCAGGAGGAGCTGATGAACACCAGCGTGTACAGCGTACTGCACGTAGGGGACCACGCTGAGTTCATCAAGAACCTGCTGCCCAAATCTCTCGGTCAGTACTCTGCTGCCTGCAAAACTCGCAGTTACTTAAGTAATGATGTTGTATAGATCTTTTGTGAGTGTTTACTAGCATATTATTCTTAGGATTTTTTATGATTCCCTCAGCCAGTGAAAGCTTATGTTTTGAGTGTTAATTGTTATATAAGCCTGTGTATGCAGCTAATGGCCTACCACTTTCTCTTTTGCTGATGCTCAGGTCCAGTCCTCCTTCCTCCTTCTTTTTCAGCTAATTAACTTCCTTTTTGGGCTGCTCTCCGTCAGCAGTAGTGCTCCCTTTCTGTTGTCGCCCTCTCTTCTTTTGCTTCAGTCTGAGCTTGCTCTAATATACATCTCATTTTTATTGTCTGTTTTTCAAGGTAAAACTAGAGATACAACAATCTTTTTTCCTATCCAGATGTGTTCAGTTTTTTAAGATATTAGTTGCAGTTGAACCTTTTTAATCAGTATTTTGAAACACTACCTGACCTGTACATTTTCTGGATTAGACCCAATACCCATCTGTATATAGGGCGTTGAGCTAATAATCAAATATTTTAGTTAATTTATAACTAAAGGAGGAATAAGAAGAGAAATTAACATTCTGGTCAAAACTGGAACAAACCAAAGCATGCTAAATATTGTCCAGGTTAACACAAGGATGCAATGTGTCTAGAGCTGTTTCAAATATGCTGTTCTAATTTTGCATATTGTCTATTAAAACAAGCTGCAAAAGGGCTTATTTAAAAAAAACACACACACACACACACTGTTCATTCAAAATAAGCAATACATGTGTATTTCAGCATTTTTATTGTTCATATTCGAAATTCAACCTCAACATTTATTGGCACATCAGGATAATCCCGCAAAATGTCAAGATATTCATTTGTCTATAATGTCTGTATGCGTTTGTGTTTTCCAACGAACTCATAACAATAATGTGGCAATGCCCTTTTACTATATACTGAGCTGATTCCGGAGTGTGCTATTCCACTCCTACCATCACCCTGTTTAAGTTTCTTCTCTCCTTCGTCTCCTCTCCTGGTGCTTCAGATTGAGGTCTGAGTGCCCAGGCAGCCATCTGGGTAAGAGAGCAGCACAGAGCGAAGTACCCTGGAAACGATCAGTGGGCTGTGTCCCAGATACTGGAGATTATCAATGCACTGAATGAGCTCACAAACCAGATGGAGTGTGATGAGAGTTTGCGCGGGTGAAAAGAGTTGTGTGTGTGTGTGTTTATTGTACATGCGTGTTCACTCTCGCCTGGCGCTGCTGCTTTAGAGGACGTGCATATGGAGGCCTGGCTGTGATGCATGGCTGTGGACGGATGACAGAGGGCGCAGGGTTCCAACTGCTCATTATGACTGATCTTTACCCAGCAACGGATCGCTCCTTTTCCTCTTTCCGCTTCCATTCTCTCTCGCTGCTCTCATTATGTCTTTCACTTGTTGTTTGTTAGTCTCCCCTGGCTTGACTTTCACTGTGCTCAATATTCCCTGTTTTGTTTAGCAGTTTTGGCTGCAGTATATTTGTCAAATAAATCCACAGGAGGCCACATGGTAAATGTCTATTGTCGTATTTTTGCCTCACAGTGAATGGTGTCCCGTGGTCCAGCGATGGTCCAAGAAGAAACAGTCATACATTCAACTGTCGAATGCTGGTGAACCCGCACAGTGAGAGCCAGGATGAGGCGCATGAGCACGAGCCACAGCAGCAGAAATATGAGACCATGCAGTGCTTCGCTGTGTCCGAGCCCAAATCTATCAAAGAGGAAGGAGATGGTAGGAAAACATCATGGACTAGGAGATGCTCTGAAGTCCCTCATTCAATCTATCTTAACAATGGGAACCACTGTATTTATGCAGGGATTCCCAAAATGGGGTTCGGGGCCCCCAAAATTTTCCATACAACAAGCATAAGAGACAATAGAGTTTGAAATCAGCATTATATTAATATTAATATTAAAAACATTACCATTTTGGAATGTGTGGAATAATTAATCTTTGGTTTTGCCTTTAGCTTGGCTACATGCTGCCCTAGCAATCAATTGTAAATATTTTCTGAGGTAGATATTTGTCACAGCCGTGTTCTACTTCCCTTTTTGCTGTGACTCCACCCTAGAGCAGAGGTGAAGGGGTTTACATGTACTTATATGTGGATGCATGACTGTGTAGTGGCAGTGGTCACAGCTAAAGAAATTAGTTCAACGGTGAATAGTCTAGAAAAAATAGGACATTTTCAAGAGCTGAGAAGATATAAAACTCAGACCACCCAGGAGGCCTTGTTTACAAGTATAAATGAGGAATTTGTGTCAAGACTGACATGCATTTCATTTTCCCCGAGCGTATGTAACTGTGCACCCTCTCTCTGGCACAAAAAAGGTTTGGGGTCATCCCTGCAACTGAATCACAGGGGTAACTGCTCTGACTGAGTAGCAGCAGTCTTTAGAGTGGTATAGGAAAGGTGTCATTATATTATTCTATGGCTCCATACGTGAGACCATCCCTGTGCATAGGGGAGCAGATTTCCTCACATACCTCCAAAGGTCACACTTCATCATTTCATGACTGGTCCTCCTTATGAAGGGAGCGGCCCTGCTCCCCATGCTCATTAATAACTGTATTAATTATGCTGCCTGGGAATAACACAATTTATTTTTCTTCTCCTTCCCTCCTGTCTTTCTCTCCATCCCCTGCTTATTCCTGTGTGTTTGTGTGCCCTCTGTCTTCTTTCTATCTACTCTGTATTTGTGCAGACTTCCAGTCGTGCCTGATCTGTGTGGCTCGCAGGGTGCCAATGAAGGAGAGGCCCATGCCCACACACGAGAGCTTTACCACGCGCCAAGACCTGCAAGGTATAAAACAATGACCCTTTTACTACTAGACTGATTGGACATAGGTTTGTATTGAATCTTTTCTGTTGTGGCTTAAAGTAACCTTGTGATAGATGACAGGTCTAAATGAATAGTTTCTTTCGTGTTTTACCCTGCAGTCCAAACAATCATCACTATAATAACAGAGCAGAACAGAGATGCTATGTAATCATTATTATATCAGTGTGGGCCCTGAGGAGCGACTGCCGTCTCACCTGTATCTCACCCGTCTGCACTCTGGGTGGTAAAGGAGCCACCGGAACTCAATTATAGACCCCAATCCTGCTCACCCTGGCTACCCATTGTGCTAGGGTGTTTAAATAGTAAAATGTTAATTATAGATCACGTTCAAGCTTGTTGAACAAAAATGTTAAGCAATGTTCTGTTTTCACCTTTTATCAATGTCGCTAAAACTACACAAAAAGTGATTTAGGTATTAAGTTTAGTTCTATTTAAATATATTTAAATGTAGTTTTCTTAATCTAGCTGTTAAGCATGGCTAGCAAGGTTCTTTTTCAAAGGAACTGTATGTACCCTATGCTCTTACAGTTTTAATAAAGGTACTACAATCACAACTGAACCTGGGTTGACAGTGCCTTATCATGCACATAGAGGATACATACAGGTTTTTCTCATTCTCAGTATAAGGACAGCATATACTGCTGCACCAGAGCTTGATTGACTGCAGGCACTGGGGTTTAGCTATTGAGGATTCAGATCAGAGAGAGGCCTTCTAACTTTCAACTAACTGGATTTTAGCATTTAAACTTGTAACCCAAATGAGAGATTCATGTCTGTCATTCTGGATAATCGTTGAGAACCAAAACACCAAATTATAGCATAAACAAATAGATCCAGCGTTTTTTTTATTAAAAATAAATCATCATTACCAGAAAAAGCTAGATTTGATTTGAACATGTCTACTTCATACCTGGAGACAAAATTAGATCATACTTATAGAAATTATAACATTTTGTTAATTCTAATTCTAATTGTATCCCATAAGCAGATAGCGGCCAAACTGTCCTTGTGAAAGCCTGATCTCGTCAGAGCTTATAGGCTAAGCAGGGCCAGGCCTAGTTAGAACTTGGACAGGAGACCATTAGGAATTCCAGGTGCTACAGTGAGGTGTCAGTGGCAGTAACTATCATTGTGTCCTTAGGCATGACACCCACATTGTCTAGTATGAATGAGGTGTGTGCGTGAATGTTGATTGGTGGGGTCGGAGGGGCTGATTGTGCCTTGCTTCTATCAGTCTGCCCCAGGGCAGACAAATAGTGGCTTAGTAGGGACAATAATAGCTTACCACCACTGAGTGTGGAGTGAATGAATAATGCAAGAAAAATTTCAAATGACTTTGAGTGTCTGGAAAAGTGCTATATAAGACTAATGCTTTATTATTATTAATATAAGCCTTTGTCATCACTACATAGGCTTTAGTAAGACGCCCCTAATCCACTTGCCTGTCTCTCTAATGTTTAGGAAAGATAACCTCCTTGGATACCAGTCTGTTGCGAGCATCTATGAAGCCTGGGTGGGAGGATCTTGTGAGGCGCTGCATTCAGAGGTTCCATCTGCAAAATGATGGAGAGATGTCCTTTGCTAAGAGACACCAGCAAGAAGGTAACAGTGTACAGCTCCATTGTAGTCACAATTCTGTCAAACTCATGTGTGCATTAATTGAACAAAATGACTGAAATTGAAAAACTCAGACTTCATTGTGTGCATTGTTAGCAATCGTTCAGTGATATCTTGGTCTGTCCACAGTGCTTCGTCATGGCCAAGCTTTTAGCCCAATTTATCGGTTCTCCCTGTCTGATGGTACCATTGTGTCAGCCCACACCAAGAGCAAGCTGGTGCGCTCACCTGCCACTAATGAACCTCAGCTCTACATGTCTCTGCACATTCTCCAGAGGTATGCCGCACCACACACGTGTGTTACAAACACAGAGCTGCAGCAGAAACTTTCACTTTAGCACAATACGGGTTTAGGCTTGTTCGCAGCAACCTGCAGCACACCAATCATTTTATTTTATGTAGGGGGACACTGCAGTATAGGTGGCAACAAGACTAGCTGTTTTCTCATTTATTACTTGTTGAGTTTAATTATGTATATTAATTTTTTTCTCTTTGTTTGTTCTGAAGGGAACAAGCGGTATGTGGCATTGGGCAGGACATGGGCCCTGGTAATCAGGCCACTGGCATGGCTCCTAAACCAATGAACTCATCTACTCCCTCCATGACTACTCCAACCCCGGGCAGTCTGCCTGGCTCGGGGCCTCAGGGCCAAGACACTACCATCAGCAGTAATAGCACGCCTTTCTCCCCCCCTGGCCCAGCCGGACCAAGAGAACTAGCTGCCATGGGGGGGCACATGCAGGGTTACCGCTTTGGTTGCCCCCCTCCACACAACCACACAGGGGGCATGCAACCACCTCAGCAGGGCTCTAACTGGAGGATGAACAGCCCATCGCGGGCTAGTCCTAGCCCAGCAGGAGGGCCTCACCCCCCACAACAGAACTCAATGCTGTCACCCAGGAACCGAGGCAGTCCTGGGGGTGCTGGCAGCCCTCGTGTCGCCGGGGGCTTGCACTCGCCTTCACCTGTTAGCATATGTGGTGGAGGCCCTTGCAGTGCAGGTAGCAGTAGCACCACTAGCAGCCATGCAAATAGCTACACGAGCAGTTCACTGTCAGCACTGCAGGCCCTCAGTGAGTGCCACGGAGTGGGCCATGGGACTCATACACTGGGTTCTCCAGACCGAAAGATAAGCTCACCAGCTGGGGTAATGGCGGGGTCAGGGGCAAACACTCATCAGATGCCTAAAATGGGAGGAGGAGGTACGCCTACAGGCGCGGGAGACTCTTTTGGGCTTCACAGCGAGGTAGGTGCAGGGCACTCAGATGGCGGCCTAACGGACCCTAAAGAGGAGAGAGACATCTCTTCTGATGGCCATGATGCTCACAGCCGTCTCCATGACAACAAGGGCCACACCAAGCTTCTACAACTCTTGACCACAAAGCCCGAACCTCTGGAGACACCACTGTCTCCAGGAGAGGGCAAGGACCCATCAGGGGTCAGGGGGGCACACACAGGGGGAAATACTCATGCCACATCCCTCAAGGAAAAGCATAAGATCCTACACCAGCTCCTGCAGAACAGCACCTCTCCTGTAGATCTGGCCAAACTCACTGCAGAGGCCACAGGGAAAGAGCTGGGTCCAGACCAGCCACAGGGCAGCGCTGCAGCTGCAGGGGAACTCACGCCCAAGCCAGAGCCCCTCAGCCCAAAGAAGAAGGATAATGCTTTACTGCGCTACCTGCTGGACAAGGAAGAGCCTGGCCTGAAGGATAAGGGTCCTAAGCTGGAGCCTGGGGAAGTGAAGGTGGAAGGGGGCAAACATCCTATGGTCAAAGCAGAGAAACAAGATGCAGGATACGAAAGAGCTGAACAGGTCAGTGGCTGCTCAAACACTGGATATTGAGTCATTATTTTATAAATGGTCATGATCTGCTTTAGACTTTATTCTGCTGTTTGCCTTACTAATGATAAATTAGCCCAGGCAGAAAAACTGGTTATGCTCTCTCTTCATACCATTGAAACCTCTACTCTGTTGCCCTGTTCTGCTCCACTTCTCACTAAAGTGATCTTGGTTGTGAAGCAGATGTTGCTTCCTCTGGACAGGCTGTGCGCATGGCCACAGACAGCCTATAACATGTGATTAATATGTATTTTATCTTTTAACTGCCACTTCAAACAGTGGTGACATTTGAAAGGGCCCGTGTGGTTCTGCAAGCATTTGATCTTCATCACCACTGGCTTGAGTCTATAGGTTTGGCACAGTGTACTGCTCAGGTCTGGCACTGGAGGAGAGGGGGGGAAAAAAGAGGTTAAAGAAAACTAAATCTGCAAATTCACAATTTGTGCAAGATGTAGAGCAGAGGTTGTCTCATGACAGTTCTCTTTTAAACCTTAAATTGAACATTGGTCATTTGGTTGGTTTGGTGTGAACATACAGGCATTTTACATAGAAAATTTATATTTAGCCTATATTTCAGTCTTGAACCACAGCAATGTACAGATTTACTGCACATATTTTTATCAAGTGTTTTTTTTTTTGCATTATTGATATAAAACATTTGCTCGTTGATTTAAAAACTTAAATGAAGACGTAGGTATGATGTACTGCAGTGTATGAGTAAGACAGATGTAGGTTGAGAGGACCCATATTGACACAGGAACTGCTGATCCTTGTTTGGTACATGTAGACTGTATGTCCACTTGAGCACATAGGAGGAAGAGGAAAAGGTGATTGGATGGATAATAAGAGGCGCTGTTGAACTGAACAAAGAGGAGAGAGATGAGGGAGGCGTAGATACCCCCAGGAGAGCACAGCCTCGGCAGGCAGAGTGAAAATGATGAGCCATATGCTCCTGCATGTCCTCTCTGCTGCCATGGAGATAAAGGGGAGAGGGAGTGGTGAGCCTGTAGCATGAGCAACACTCGGAACAATGGAGAATCAGAGAATAGAAATGCATCATCGCAGATTTAATATTTATGTGTACTGTATGTGGGCTTTAATCTAACTAGTATATCTGTGATGAGCCACTGTAGTTCAAATTGATCTGTACTACATATTTAACCATAACTGTGAGGGGCACATTCCATTCCAAAAGATGTAGTCAGCCACCAACATGGCAGTTTGTCATCACAGACTGAGCTACAAGTTCATTAAAGGCATTAGTGAGTGGGTGTGTATCTCTGGCATATCGCGGTTCAGTCATGTGTGAAGGCTGCACTGGTGAAAGTCCACTCATGCCTCTCTCAACGTCACCCACTGGGCTCCGGCTGCCTGCTTCTTCTTACTCTTCCTTTTAGTTTTATGGCTAGATTATTGATGCACAGGTGTTCATTTAAAATATTTTTTATCAATAACAATACAGATTTTATGAAGTACTTCCTGTTCCTCTGTTGAAAGGAGAAAATGAAGTCGCTGTTATGGTGACTGGCCCAGGGTAATATAGACAAAGATGGTGCAATACTTCGCATGTGAAGAGAGACTGTTAATGTTACTGGCACTAGAGTGCTTTACATAAGGACTCCAATTAAATATATCTTTGCCTCCAAAACATACTATTTCAGTTAAACTTTTGCTCAGCTGAGATTTTTTGCTGAGTTGATTTTAGCCAAATACTTTGGATAATTATGGTATGAGGCTTTTGTATTTTTGCTATCCTTTAAAATGACACTGCTTCTTCACCCACACAGTTCTCAGTTCCTTTAAATGCCATGAGTGTTACTAGGTCAACATGGCACTATGCTGCTACTGCCCTCGACTACACCACCCAGGCACATAAACAAACCTTATGGCAAATATAGGCTAATGATGACTTTTACCTTTAATAAAGATTACATAATTGGAGCTATTTTAAGGTGAACAATCCACCTCATGTTAGTTTCAGAGGAGATGTTACACAGCTTTTCCTGGACTCTTCCACTGTATGGTATTTACTTTATCTCGATAGAGACAAGGAGGCAGTACTTCCAGGCCAAGTTAGAGGTTAGATCCATAAAAATACCTGTAGTGATATAAATTAAATAAATGTGAGGTACTAATCACTGTATTTCATATGGTTGCTGTTGTATAGCACTTCCACTTGCATACAGTGTTTGCAGATAGTAACATGGATTGATAGCAATATGAGCCCTTAATTGTGAAGGCAGTGAGAGAAGAGAAGTGAACAGAAAGGGCAGGAGGAGGAAGAGGAGCATTACATCACTCCTGACCTCATTAGGGCTTTTCTCTGCCCCTCCACCGCCCCCCACCCACTGCTCCACTCCACAGCGCTCCCACATATCCTGTGTGCCGGGCTGCTGCGTGGAAACCTTCAAAGTGTAACATGTTGTCTGAACCTAGATGTTCAATATCACAAATGAAAAAGGTCTTTGACTATGTTAAATCAATGTGGGTGTGAGCTTAATCATTTGTGAATGAGATGATAACAAGTGTCTCATATCCATACTGACAATTGTGTGGTGAATATGGGCTACAGTAGGTCAACACTGTAGCTAGTTGGTACATTTTTTTCACTTTTCTTGCCTCAATAGTTGAATCTGTATAATTTAATGTGCTGCTCTCTGGTGGTCATAATTGTTACTGCACTTTATTTACTTGAAAACTTCAGTTTTCTCTCAAGTTTTTCAGAAGGCGTTTGTAGTTTTAGATTTTGTTTTTGAAGGTTCAGTAATCTTTAATGTTTAAATTTTCTAGCTTTCACTCAGCAGAAGATCTTCCAAATTGTATCAAGTCTTTGTTTGCTCTAATAAAACCAATTAATTTGATTAACTCTTAGAACCATGTAATTGTATAATATTCTACATTGACAAGGCCAGGTTGATTTAGTGTGAACAAGATCTGGTGGAGAGTAGAATGAAGCGCAAGTTTGCCAGTACAGCTGGGTTTGGTCTGCAGCTGTTTAACAGTGTGCCAGTAGCCAGTTCGAGTGCCTGTGTTCCTGTAAAGTACATACCATTGTACTACTGGAGCTTCTGTGGGGGAAATAAATAAGGAACATGTGTAGGGTTTCCCTGTAACCCTATTTGAGTCAATGTTGCCATTTTATACACAATTTGACAAACATGGTAATCATGCAGTTTCTTATTTAGCTTTCAGTCCTCACTCTTTTTTTGAAATTCAAGGCTGTTGTCCATATCACATAGATAAAGAGAAGGCTACCTTTTATGTTATTAGAATTGCCCAAATACTGGACAGATTTTATCTGTACATCTGTGTGTGACATGTCCGTATCATCTAAGAATGTCTCTTACGATAGTTTTTGTTGTGTCTCTGCAGCCGTCAGAACTAGACGACATACTGAATGAACTGCAGAATCCCCCAACTCTCTTTGAACAGCGGCCGGTGTCACTACCCAGTCCAATGGACAAACAGAATATCATCAATGACATCTTGCAGATGTCTGAGCCCAACCCTGCTCTGGTGGGACAGCAGCAGCAGCAGCACCGAGCCATAGGGCCAGGCATGGGCCCAGCCAGTGAGTCCAGTGTCTCCATGTTCTCCTCAAACAACACATGATGCATAATAGGTAATGTACTAGATCATAGCCCTGCTTTATCTCAAACTTATTGTGTCTAGACTTTGGAGCTATGAGACCAAACCAGCCCGGCAGAGGCCTCAGAAGTCTATCTTTGGACTTGAATGCCTCACCACAGCAGTCCTCATTACAGTATCCTATGAGAGCCACAAGCCCATACACCCTGATGCAACAGCAACAAGGCATGATGGGAGCTCACAACATGATTCCTAACCAACCTGGTATGGTTGGAGCAGGTAAGTTTAGTATTTGTATGGTATTATAACTTATCTTGAAATTTTTTGAAATTTGAAATTAACTGTATTCTCCTCCTCCAGGGCATCCAGGTGGTCCACGAGCAGGCATGCCACACCAAGAGGCCTGGGGACAGCAGCAGGGGCCCATGCAGGGCAGGATAGGACCTAATGCTGCTCCTATGAGACCCAACAGCCAACCAGGGCCTAGGCAAATGTTACAATCTTCTATGATGACAAATGGTGAGATCAGACTATTCATAACAACTTTAACCAATAAGATCAAACACTGTGTGTCTAAGCAACTAATTTGGAATCTTCTCTCAGCCCAACCAGACATGGACATGCCTATGGTTGGCCACCATTTCTCACAGCAGCAGGCTCCTCCCAATCAAACTGCTCCATGGCCTGACAGCATGATGCCCATCGACCAAACACCTTTTGTTAACCCAAACCGGTAAGAGTACAAGACACAAACTTCAGAATACTGTAGACATAAAACTGTAGACTAATAAACTGCTCGTGCTTTGTGCTTAGGTCAGTGCATCCTGCTGCCCAGGAGGAGCTGCTTTGTGGGGCAGGTGATGGTGGGCCAGTGGATGAGGGGGCGCTCATGTCACAGTTGTACACGGCACTTAAAGATTTTGACGGTTTGGAGGAGATCGACCGTGCCCTCGGCATCCCTGCGCTGGTAGAGCAGGTCTCCTCTTTTGCTCCTCTCACTGCCTCTTGTTGGCATGAGTTGGCTGCACTTACTGCATAAGCCTGTGCTGGATTTTATTTATGTGCACCGGTATTTCTGTTTCAGAGCCAGTCTATAGAGCCGGATCAGTTCACACAGGACGCCTCCATGATGCTTGAGCAGAAGCCGCCTATGTACTCACAACAGTTTGGGCCGCCACAGTCCCACATGTCCCAGAGGGGCTATCCCAATAACCCAATGCAGGAGCCAGGCTTCCACCCCATGCAAGGCCAGATGGGTCCACGGCCAGGATACCCCATGATGAGAATGCAGCCACGCCCAGGTCTGAGGCCTGCGGGCGTCCCCAACCAGCCCAATGCACTACGACTGCAGCTGCAGCACCGACTGCAGGCCCAGCAGGTACAGTCTGAACACAACACTTATATCATCCTTGAGCCTGACATTTTGGCAGCTTAATATTGAGTAAATAACAGATGAGAGATAGGCTTTTGACATATTTTTATCTCTGTGTGATACCAGTCACTGATTCTGTTAATATGATATGCAAAGGATTTAAAGTTATAGAATCAAATGACCATATCTTTATTAATAACTGTCTTCACCAGAATCGTCAGCCCATGATGTCACAGATGAGCGGTGTGTCCAATGTGAACCTACCTCTTCGAGCCAGTGCTCCAAACCAGGTACACTCTCGGAGAGAGTTTTTCTTCTGTAACTCATGGTTACGAGCTGTAATATTCTGTTTGTTGTGTGCAGGGGACCATCAATGCTCAGATGTTAGCTCAGCGCCAGCGTGAGCTGCTCAGTAATCACCTGCGGCAGAGGCAGCAGCAGCAGGTGCAGCAGGCCCAGCAGGTGCAGCAGGTCCAACAGCAGAGGAGCATGGCCATGAGGGCTCAGGGTCTAAACATGCCCCCCAACATGGCCGCCGGGGGCATGAGCAATGCCCGGATGCCCCAGGCCAACCCCCAGCAGTTCCCCTACCCGCCCAGCTACGGTACCAGTACAGGCCTGGCCTCGCCACCTCCTCCCACCAGCCCCTTCTCCTCCCCTCTGTCCCCCAGCCTGCCTTCTATGCCCCCCAACCCTCAGCTCCACATGCATGGCACCTCCTCTTCCTCCACCACCTCCTCCTCTCAGATGTTGATGGGAAACACAAACATGATGGGCGGACAGTATGGGGCCGTACTCAGCCCCCAAATGCAGCACAGTGCCTTTCAGTTTCCCAACTCAGGTACTGCCTCCTAACAGCCGACACACACCATCTACAGCTGTGTGTGCGCGCCATGTGTCCATGTTGTGTCTGTAGTGGCCCAATCATCTGCCTTAGCAGTTCTCATTTGAATTTTTTTTTGTTTTTGCATAGATTTGCATAATACTCTTTTAAAATTTAAATTATAACAGAGCAACCACTTCATACAATGCACAACTTAAAATGGTGCCTTGTAAGTTCAGAATTTCTCCACCAGAGGGCAACCTTTGAGCATTGATTAAAGCTCAGAAGAGCCTGGGCTGACACAACACTTAATACAGATTCAAGTTGTTCTTTTGCCACTGATAATAATTAATTTCCCATATTGACCATTACTGTTATGTGCATATTAACCATTCCATCAATGTAACTGCAGTTGTGTGTTCTTTCCCCATCATCCAGTTTCTTGTTTGTTGCTTGTGCATGTATGTAGCTTGTATTGCTTGTTTTAAACAAAACAAAAAAAAAGTCATTTGTAACTACCAGATTTTGTTATTTTTACTAACCGCATTCCTAATATTTATTTGGCTTTGATATGATTTACTTTGTGGCTTCCTCTGCCTGATATTACGATGGCCCTCCTACAGGTATGAGCCAGCAGACAGATGCAGGATTTGGGGGTCCGGGCACACCTCAGAGCCCACTGCTCTCTCCTCGTATGACACACACTCAGTCCCCCATGATGCAACAGGGCCAAGGAAACACTGCCTTCCAGGGCTCCCCTGAGATGAATGGATGGCCACAGGGAAATATGGCTGGGAACAGGTATGCTAAAAACTCTCTGTACATGATTATATAAATACAGTATATTTATATATGTTCATAATACTTTCAAACATGACTGCTTTCCTCCGCAAACTGTGTAACCTAATTGTAAGTTTTCTATTCCACAGTATGTTCTCGCAGCAGCAGCCCTCTCCACAGTTCCCCCAGCAAAACAACACCAACATGTTTAATGGCAACAGCATGAACCCCATGGCCAACAACATGGCTGCTGGGGGCATGGGTGCCATGGGCCAGATGGGAGCGCAGATGAGTGGCACGTCTATGGGCTCTGGTCCCTCCCCTGGGCTACCCTCTATGGGCCAGGAGCAGGTACACGTTTATTGTATAAAAATGTATACAGCAGTACTGTCTATGTATGGACAAAGAACAAATAACTTGAATATACAGTACAACACCTTGATAGTCAGCAGAGGGCGCTGTGCTGTAGTGCTGTAGCAGTGAAGTAATTTGTTGATGGTAGCTACTCTTTTAAGCCTCATTGGATGTTGAGAGGAGGGCAATTAGAGTATGAGTATGTTGAGGTTATATTAACTTTAATGAAATTGAACAGATAATTTCAATAGTTTTAACCTATTTATGACACAGACATAATATAGGACCATTTTAACTTTTTTTGAAAGTTGTACATTTTTAGCACACCCATATTATGCCTTTCTAGATTTTCACAGTAATCCTGGGACCAAGAAACTAAAAGTACTTTCTCAAAGTTGCTTGCATATATCAGATCGTAAGAGTCTTAAGTGTTTGGGCACAGTTATTGAACTTACTTGCTGTGCTAGTAAATAATTTAGTCAACAGTCGGCATTCTGGTTCATGACTTGAGCTTACAGGACAATGATGTAATTAGCAGCGGGCACTTTAGAGCTCGACCATATAGACCATATAGACTGATATGTTTGGTCAGTGAAGTCATGGGCTAGACTTTTCAAACTTTGACCAACTTGTGTCTAACTGCTTTGTAGCCAGAATAACACATTTTACTCCCTAATAACACACATATAATAATATATTGCTTTATTTAAGATATCATCAAAGCCCAAGGTAATTGTCTGTGGTGTTATCACTTGCATGTAGTGTCCACCACTGTTATCCCAGAGGCTTTTAAGTCCAATAAGGCCCATTAATATTTAACCAAGGTGCTGTTGTTTGATTGTGTGCACTTGAAACTGTTGTAACACACCAGTTTATCTGACAGCTGAGTTATGTTCTTTGCCGCTTTATAGAAATATATTGGCACTTAGATTATTTCAATTATTTACCGTTAGACCATTAGTGCCCGTTTAAACCTTTACTCACTGGTTTTAGGGCAGACCATGTGTTCCTGGATGACTACTTATTGTTTAACATTAGAAGTTATACTCTGTATTGCTTTTACTGATAATATTAGTCATGTTGACTTATTCCCAATTACGAAAAAAAAAAAAAAAAAAAACAGAAGTATGAGCCTCATACTTCTCATCATAATTGCAAAATGTAATGTGTAATCACAGTTGTTATTTTTGTTGTCAATTATTAGTCCATATGACCAAAAGCCAATTGAAAAGAAACCTAAAAGTTTTTTCTCCAAGCTGAATACCAAAGGCAAAGCCTCAGCAACTGCTGCCAGTGCTAGTGCACCGTTGCAGGTCAGTGAGTGAATTCAGGAGGTTTTTAGCTGTCAAATGAGATTTGATTTGTCCATATACTGAGTTTGAGCAAATTTGTATAGAAAACCTAAACCAGGGGTTGGGGTTTTCACTTAATAGCTGATTTTACTTGAGAAAACAGAATGTCATAACTGTACCACTTATACTTTTTGTTTTTTTCTTTTGTAGAAATATTGTTGACCCAATCATGAACCTCAATGGATGCCCTTTAAAGACTGTACAATTATGTAAACAACTGGCCCCTTGGATCAGCCCGGCCTCACCCTGAGTGCCCCCGGCCCAAGATCAAATGGACCCAGTCCAAAAAGAGGGTCGGGGGGCTCATCTCGCGCCTGCTCCCCTCAGAGGAGAGCCCCATATTGAGCCAGTCTGTCCAGCCGCATTCACCGTAGAGTGACTTACCGAAGGCCTCCCTCCTGGTGTGGGACATGACTGTAGGGCAGCGATGGCTGGGGTCCCTCCTGCTGATGAATGTATTCCTCTCTGTGGACTATGGCCATTCACAATCTCATCTCAAAATGATTTTCCACAGAGATCCAAAACAGCAGCAAAGACTCACGTGAAGCTGAATTATGAACGCAGCTCATGTAGTTAGCTGTTTGGCCTTTTGCTGTTCATGATGATTTTAACCTGATTTTATTCAGATGTTTTTGTTTATTTTTTCCCTGTGAGAATCAAATGATGAATGAAGATATGGTTGAAAAAACTGATCTTGAAAAACACTGCAGAATGGTTTGAGTGGAATGGTGATTTGTAAGATTAGATTAATTTAGTGAAGAGGTTTATATAGTGTATTAAATTAAGTTTTATTTTTCTGTATAGACTCATTTTAATTATTTTAGATGATTCTTTATCCTTGTAGCAATGAGAGAACTATTTCTAAAAGTGTGAACGAGGCACTTTTTAAAAATAAGTTTAACAGTTACAGTGGTTGTATTCTTTCTGAGAAGTCTGTTAACCTGATCAATGGAATATACTTTGGTCCTGTAGTTTCAGAAGATGTCAAAATCAAATACAATTACAGAGATTGTACATACGATGAGTAAAGCTTTTTCTATTTATTTTATTCCTTAAGGCTCCCCTGTCTGGTCAGATCTGCTCTTGGTGTGGAGCGGGTTGTGGTTTTTTGGGGATGTGGTTAGGGCCACGTGCAAACCTACGAGCCCTGGTACGGTAGAGATGGGGGCGAGGGGGGGGGTAACAGATTTGGGGAATCGGGGTGTGTGGTGTATACAGTGTACAGATTATCGCTTTGCTTCTCTGCCTTTAGCATAGAACACCACAAAAGCTTAAAAAATGACAGGACAAATTCAACACAGCCATACAAAAATCAAAAGTGTGCTTTCTATGTCGTCTGGAGCTGCTAGTTGCAAACTGTTTTTGGTGTGATGTAAAATGAGCAATAACGATTACTTGAGAATCTTGTGAGGTTTTTGTCTTTTTTTTTTTTTTTTTTTTCCTTTTTTGTATTTTTGTACAGGTTCCAGAATAAAAAGGACACGTTTTTTGATCCACCTTTGGATGCAGTATTAAGAAAACCTTTTTTTTTTTTTTTTTTTTAATTGCAGTTTGTACCAAGAAAGACTACACATCCACGCATACGTTCCTACATTCTCTTATGCAGCGCTGGAAGGATGGGGGGGTAGTTTGATGTTGCGCTCTCCCTGCCTCCAGCGGTTCATTTATCGCAGAAGTCACTTAGCCATATTTTATGAGCTCAGGCAGTAAGTTCTACTACTATAAAGTGTTGCTCTCAGTTTGATCTTCACAAAATATCAAATCACTTTCTCTAACCTCAAATTTTCTGCAAAACTTTTTATATGAGCTATTTTAACCCAGGACAGACGTGGAGCAAGCCAAATATTCAATCTTTTCAATTGGATTCCATATCTTTGTTTTTGGCCCATGACAACAAATGTATGATGTCATTTGACAGGTGAGATGCATTGGATAGAACCATTCTGAATGTATTGTCATTTAAGTCTATGGTGAAAGAGTAACATGCAAAGATGGCCATTTTTGTTGTTGTGAAATTAATAATTTAGTTGTAGCAGAAGTCGCATACATTTTGCTCATCACTTTTTGATAATCTGATTGTAAAATACTGACAAGCTTAGCCTTTTTGAGCCATTTGAAAGAGTGATTCAGAAGCCCTTTGCAAAATTTCCAAAGATTGTCACCATTTTAAAAAGCCATGTGGTAGCAGTGCATTTTTTAGCATTTATAATGAGGACAGGAGCAAATGCTTAAATTTTGCCCCTAATATACTACAACTGTTCAGGCCACTAAAACAGAACTATTTTTCCGCTTATGTGTTTTGGAAATGCCCTTTTGTATTGTCTGCCAATTTTAGAGCTAAGACGCAACGTTAAAATGCTAATAACCCTAGCATATTGCCTTAGATTGTCCGTCTTTGTTCTTGTACATTACACTTGTGTCTGTATAAATTTGTATTATGACTTGTGTACAATATTGAATGGTTGCTGAAGATGGTCACACACTATTTGTCTATGTCATTGCTCTTGTGTACTGGGCTTAGGGACTTGTTTTTTTCCATTTTCTCGTCACTGTTGGGTGGAGCATCTATTAACTGAAGGGATACTGAAGCAATATGTAAAATACTATGGACTTTCTCATTGGAAAGCTTAACTGTTGTGTTTTCCCTCACGGTTTGGTTTTTCGGCATTGTTCACAGGAGTCACACTGTATGTACGTCCACCTTTGTACCTTTAGTGTGTGTGTGGGCGTTTTATGCAAAGTTAAGACATATAAGAGAAGTTCGAACCACAGTTATGCAAGTTGTGAACTAATATGGCTTCGCTGATGCTATTTGCCTTGTAAATAAAGAATTCTGTTATTGCAATAATCAGGTGTGGCTCTACTTTTTTGTGGGTAAACCTCAGGGCTCCTGGTGAGACTGCCCAAAGCCAAGAAGTCCTAAAGCCAAGAGAGTGATTTGTTCATGGGCAATCATCTGGCTACAGTCTTTATTTTTCAGTGACTACAATAAAACAGAATTAAAGTGTTCTTTTTTTATTGCTGTGTGTGATAATGCTACAGAGCTTGTTTTAGAATTAGAAGTTAATTCACAATTAAAATGATCCCAGATGGACACTGAGTTCAGCGTAAAACAAAATCTAATATAATTCGTTGTTTGTTTATTTACACCTTTAACAATTAAAATGTATGTCTACAAATGAGGAAAACTTTAGGCTTGGGAACATTAAACATTTTCCAGTAATGATCAATTTTAAGATTTCATCACATTACATTTTTTTTCTTTTAAATTCTTCTTCAGATTGGTAGAACGTCCACGGAGCTATAGGCCTAAACTGTTCAAAATGAAAAGCCGGCATTTTGGCTCTTAAAACGCTTCTAAAAAGACGACTCTCATGTCGCTGGTGGATAATTCATGAATATAAACCGCATCAGTAATGGACGAAAACTGATTGCTTATCCTGAATTTTCACCATTGTCTTTTAGGGATGTCGCAAAGATACCAAAACACTATTTTTGCCACATGAGTAATTTACCATCATTAATAAGAATGCGTTTCCATTTCATTCATTCAGTCAAGATATGGCCTCTATTGTTGTGTGCCTTCCTATTCACCACATTCAACTCATAACAAAACCGAGCCTCCCCGATGAGGTCCCTTACATACAATCTGTGCGCGTGAGTGGGGGTCTTATATGGAAATGCATTAGGGAGAAAGCAGAGAAGTTAAACGAGCGGGCTGCGGGTGGGTTGGTCAGTGGAAAAGACGGTGTTCTAGTGGGTCATTGAGATGCATGAGGCTGACGGGCGCACTGGCCAATGAGGAGCGAGGCCGGACTGTATACAGTAGAGGTGCCCTCAGATGACCACAGAGCATCCCAGACAAGCAAAGAGGACGCACGAGTTCTGACGCTTCAGCCTGTGGATATGACACTCATACCTCAATAATTACACACTCAGAAAAAAGGTAAGTACTTTCATCAATCCAAATCTAACCAACATTTGTATCATAGGCTGTTTTAAGAGTTTAGTGAATTACTGTTAACTTTTTTATTGTGTGGGTAAGCCATTTGTAATTTCAACTTTATTTCGGATCTGATATGTGACCGCAAATGCAGCTCTAATTATCGCAGCATTAGTGCCTTTTTAAATACCACGGGGTCATTGTAAAGTCTATAGCGCGCTTCATTAATGTTGACCTCTGGCCCGCTGTTGACCCTGATTTGTCGCGCTATTTACCGGCTGATTGGTTTAAAAAACACAGGAACGTGTAATGTACCCTTGTTTTAAAGCACGAAGAACATTTTTGAGTTCACTGGGGTGGAAATATTGCGAAATTGGCTGCGTGGTCAAAAGGAAGGCACCATATTTGCCCAATATTGCTATGGTAGTTTTCTTTTAAGTGTAAAATGTATAAGCTTTTACCAATCGGGTCAATAGGTCAAATTGGTGCGTAAAATGCCAAATATAGAGTCATTGATTTATGTGTGGTAAAGCTCCTGTTTCCTCTTTTAGTTTTCTTGCATTAAACTTTTATACCTCCCCCTTCTCCTGTTCTCTCAAGGACACTTCCAGTTCGCCTTGAAGTTTCCTCCTCTTGACTATGTCCGTGTCCATGATGCCCCTGAAGACTTTCCACCCGGGCGCACTCAAGAGCAGCCCTGCCCGCGGTCTGTATCCGGCCCCCGTGCCCCCTCACCCCTTCATGGACTTCTTCCCTCGCCCTCACAACCTTCTGCACCCGCTCAAATCCCTGGGACGCCTCGTGTCAGACGCGTCTTTTCATTTTAATGGGCAAAGTGCAAATGGAAATACTGCTTTCATAAACCAAAATCATCTCCTGCACGAGCACATGCTTAACCCGTACGTCAGTCAGATGCTGCCAGGGCACGCGCTGTATCACAAACCAGAGGAGATGGCTGCAGTTGTGACGGAGCACGCGGCTGGACCTCTGTCCTCTCCGGACTTCAGAGGCAGTCCCTCCAGCGACAGGTCCTCCTCCACGGTGTCTTCTGCCACGACCTCCCCGCCCAAAGACGCGCTCCTCCAGCTGAGGAGCAGCGTGGAGAGAACCCCCGAGAAAAGAGCCTACAACTTTAGTGAGGACGACCTGTTCATGGTGCTGTACGGATACTCTGGAGGCAAAGAGCGCAGCGTGGGACATGCCATTTCAGGAGTGTCTCTGATGGAGCACTCAGGTAAAACAGCACGCAATAGAAATGCAACATGCAAATTCTTTTTATAATTAGGGCAATAAAATAACGAAAATCGTTTTCTCTCTTTTATTTTCCAGTTTCAGATAACCACGTTCTTCCATTGGACAAAGATTCACTTGATCTGCCAGAAGGTAAGCATCTTTATCAAATTCACACAAAGAATGTTTTCTTTTTTTAATTTTCTATTATCTACTATATTTTTCATTTAGAAGCTTAACTTTTGTGTCATTGTAACCTAGGACTCTCCATCCAACAAGCGGCCTGGGGGAACGTGACGCACTGTGGAGTTTTCGCTGAGAAAAGCAACATTCCTAAAGGCACGCGCTTTGGCCCCTTCCAAGGCAAAGTGGTCAACACCAGCGAGATCAAAACATACGACGACAACACTTTGATGTGGGAGGTAATGTGTGACATTTATTTTTATTATTTCATTAAATAATCATAACAAATCATTTAAACGCGAAGGCTTTTTTTTTTTTTTTTTTTTTTTTTTACAGGTGTTTGAGAACGGCCGCCTGAGTCACTTCGTGGATGGGCGCGGGGGTTGTGGGAACTGGATGTCTTTGGTGAAGTGCGCGCGCTTCCCGGAGGAGCAGAACCTAACAGCGGTGCAGGTGCAGGGCCAGATCTTTTACGAGGCCTGTAAGGAGATCCGAGCGGGCCAGGAGCTGCTCGTCTGGTACGGAGACTGTTACATGCAGTTTCTGGGCATCCCACTCACACTGAAAGACACCAGAGACGAGAGCACCACGATTCTTCCTACTGAGGGTTAGCAAAAGAAAGAAATACTCCGATTAATTAATACGTTGTTCATTGAAGTATACTCAACTTTTTAAAATTATTATTTACAGATACTGGGGAAGGTTTCAAATGCGACAGATGTGGCAAAGTTTTCGCCTATAAATATTACAGAGACAAGCACCTGAAGTACACCCGCTGTGTGGATCAGGGCGACAGAAAGTTCCCCTGCCATCTCTGCAACAGATCCTTTGAAAAGAGGGACCGACTACGCATCCACATCCTCCACGTGCACGAAAAACACAGACCACACAAGGTAAAGCTCTTCAGATACGTAAAATAAACAGTGTAAATAGACGCACAATCATTACGCATAAGACAGGCCTTGAAGATATCCATGATGGCTGAAAAGAGACAGACATCGTCAGACGCTGGATGTCTATAGTGGTCTCTCTCACCTCTCGTAAATAATTAAGAATTTTAACACTAGTGCACCTGTAAACTCAGTTTGGGCAAATCGTTGCTTGTCCTAGATACTAGAATAGTGCGAGTTGAGGAATAAAATAAAATAATCTGTTATATGTTATACTAGATGCCTCTTGGCTCTGCTCTATAGATGCGCAAAGAAAGCAATTAGTGTCTCAGTCTAGAGTGTCTCAATAACACATGCCTATGATAATGTTAGGCACAGCAATAGTTTAAGTTTTTTGTTTTATGTTTTTTTTACATTGTTTTTGAGATGGCTAATAATGTTGAGTAATGATAGAAAAGAAATCCGTGCTAGCTCCGAGAGAATACTACCATTATCTCTTAAGTGGTTTTATCACCTACAATATTAAAGGTGACGTGAAAAATACTTTATACTCAATCCTTAAAATACAATATTTAAAAAATAATCTCCTATATTCCACTCTTTCATTATATATTCAAATGAATCTTATCAACAACTTCATACAAGAGCTGGTGTGATTTCGACGAATTGATCCATGTCTCAGTCAATTTGGCGTCATGATTACGAGCCTTATAACTTGTAGAGAGACAACGGTTGTTTGATGATTTTTTTTGTCAGATATTGCCAAGATGTACTCTCACATCCAATATTCATTCCGATTTCTTTAGTCTTTCGCTCCAAGCAGCAACGGACCTATACATAGCGTGTTACTCGATAGCAAAGGCTCGTCGTGCGCCGCCCGTCTCGTGCCACTTAAATCCTCTCCTTTTGCTAGCTCGGTAGATTCATACATAACAAAAGTCCATTTAGCAGACATCCTTGTTTCATGGCGCATTGGCCGGACGCCCTTATTGTGTCCCTCTCGAGGCGCGACGCTCGCGGCACACACTTACGGACGTCATAATCTCTCGCCAGATGTTATTACATGCCATCCACTTAGTTGTAGACGACCCCAGAAACTCTTCTTAAACATACAGCATGTGTTGGATCAGTGAAGCATACAGAAGTATTTTTGTGCTTCGTCCTTTTCTCTTTAAAACATGCTCCTTAACACCCTTGTAGTAATACTAAGACTCCTATCGGTCAGGTAATTTGTTTGAACCTCTTTTTTATTCAGTGCGTTCTCTCAATCGAATCAGATAACACAACGTGCATTATCACGTGGCTCTATCGCTCGACTAACTTGTTTGTTATCCTGTTTTTACTGCACAGTTATTCGTCTATATTTATGGTGTCCTTCATGCCTATAATGTCTTATTCTTTGGAATATCTGTATATAGTCATTCTCCTCAGCGTATTCTCACCCCTACTATCTTATGTACATCACTATAGGAATCTTAAGATCCTGAGTCCGTCAAAAATATAATAGGCCGATCAAACCTCCAATAGGCCCTGCTGGTACACCCTAATACATCTACATGCTCATATCGTCCCTTCTCCCATTATTTATTCGTTCTATAAGCAAAACTGTAATGCCCTCGAGAATATGGTCCTGAAATAAATAAAAACTTGAACCATTCGTTGTATGTGGTGTATTTACATTAATACAATTAGCTATCACTTTGGTAAATTCGTTTTTCTTGCTTTTCCAAGGCCTTCACTGCCTCTAGTATCCGTGCGCACATCCAAACCACTCACCGCTCACAGCAACTCCTAGCGAGAGCGGATCCTGATTCTATATGTCTAGAGCTACTGACACGAGCGGAAGGTCTGGCATCTCTTCGTACCGTCCTTCCTTCATCTCTCATAGCCACAGCGATAACCAGCACACAAAAACAACAGCCCGGCGCTGGTTACAAACCTTGTTTTCCTTGCTGCAGTCAATGTGACTGGCGCGATTAAATTGGTCTACTAATTCCAGAAAGTACGGCGCATGAGAAAGCTATGGAGCAAATTCCACCTTAAAAATAGTCAGTACGATAGTGAGTATGCAGTTTGTTATATACGATTAGCTGATATTCATTAAATGAATTGATAATCTGAATGTCGTTAATTTTGATAGATTGGAATAAGAGCTTTTAGCCTTACTTTATTCATGAGGACAGCTTTTTGAACTCAAAATATTTATATATAAACCCAAATATAACTTTTAAAAGTGAAATGAGATCATATTTTAGATGATTTATATAGCAGAAAAGACAGTTGAGCTATGGAAGACAAAACATCGTCATATATTATCCATCCTCTCCTAATCCATCAAGGATTAAAAACCATCAGAAAATATCACGCGATGGCTTAGTCTCTAATGTTTGTATTTGGCTACATCTCAGTTTTATTTCTACATTGATTCCACACATCAGACCCTACAAAATAAACTGGCCATCTGCATACACTAACACATAGACTAAATTGAACCTAATTTGCTAACAGCGCCGCCATTAATACGTGTGTATATTTGCTTAGGATTTTCTTATCTCAAATGTAAAGTCTCTACATGAGAGCTTGTTCTATAGTACTGGCTCAATGTTATGTCTATCGAATAATTGCAAAAGGAAAATCTACTATTATTATAATCTCAGTTATACATCTGTATGTAGTGGGTCTAGAATATACCTTATTTGTGATGCATCTTTGTTGTTGTTTTTGTTGCTCAAAGCGTGCCATTTTCTGGGCTCTGTGTAAATACAACAATGCTTTATCTAAATTATTATTTCAGTCTTATTTATGACAAAGGCTTAAAAAGCAGGCACTGTGCGTAGAGACGATATGATATTGTTGTTATAAGCGGATCTATTTAATTATTATTGATAACAACTCTGGAAGTTTGATGTTTTATGTTAATCTAAAACTGTTAGTTTAGTAGTCTGTTTTGTTCTATGACCCTTTTAAGTGTATTATTAGCAGAGATTTAAAATGATGCGGCTCCAAATGATAACTCCCTGATATGCTCTCATAGTTTTCGTGTTCTCACAGAGTTTATACTTTATATTATGAGATCCACATGATTCGTGGCCAGTGTCTTCTGTCAAAAGTTTTAGCACTGTTGTAAACTTTTTGTATCAGCTGTGCCAGGTCGACACACTTGCGTCTGACTCATTCCTCACAGGTCGCAATATAAGTGCTAGCTCCTGCATGTTGCTTTTTCTGACTGCTAAGCGGAAATTCCACATGATAACAAGCCATCGATCCGTACCCGCAGAATAGAAAATGACACATTACTAGCTTAACATTTATTACTCTCATGACATGGGACAGTTTGGTGCAGGGTTGATCAGCCTCTCGACAAACAAAGAAGCTGACATTCATGCACACTCCTCATCAACACAACATGGAGCATTCTGACTATACAGTGTATGACGTCGGTGCTAACCCCTCTAGATCTTTCTCCAGACTTATGCAACGAGAGATAATAGTAACATACCTGTTAAATAATTTGTTCTTGAGATATTGGTTCTCAATATAATAATGTACCACGGATTGAAGTGGACATAAATTGTACAATGCGTTGTAGAAAAATCTTAGTGTTATATAGCTTCGCTGTGATATGAGATTGAAAATTCTCGGGGTCAGCGATATATAGGGTTTCCAGGATTCTTTTGAGCACCGTTGTGCCACTAGTGAAAATTCCATAAATTCAAGTGTTAAAGAAAGCCGTCTGATCGCCAGTCAGATGTGTGTTAATACTATAAGACTTGCCCTTCATACTGGTTCCGGTCAGTATTTCTTCGAACTTCGCCCACATATGAAGGAATGTGTGATAGTGGTCGTGCGTTCGACAAACTTGGCTTGAATCATAGTCAAGTGTTAAGAAATAGCACGCTATATTACAAGTGCTTTGGTGTTATCCAATTGTTCAAGACTAGTTTATAACTGTTTATTAGCTCACAAAGTCAGAGGCTGCCAAGTTGGTGCATCGGAATATATAATTCTCTCAGTTGTTGGTCGTGCAGAGTAGGTAAAGATAGAGGTAATGTCCCATATTTTATGGGTGATCTGTCGAAAGACATGTTTTCTGCAACGGGTATTTTAAACAGTCATTTGATAAATAACTTTTTACTCCAACTTCTATCCATCTACTTAAAGATGACTTACATTACCGATAAATCTCTTATCCATGCACACACTTTTTTCTCTATATTGTCTCTGTGACCCTCTTTGTTGAATACTAATCTATCTTGCGCTATACAGATATTCAATTTCAGTGTATATCAAGAGAATGGTATATATATATGAGTATTAGTCTCTAAAGTAACTCTTACTATCTATTTAGCAAATTAAAAACAAGATGAATCATTTTGAGGCCGTGATTTTTCGACATGTGTGACATTTGGATCACTTTTGTAGCTCCACAAAATATATGTATTGACAAAGTTTTGTACGCGCTTCGTGGCTCCTTCATAGAGCATCTGACCTGTAACTTTTCGTATTATCTGATGCCAGTTTTATGCGCTCTCCATGAAGATCGAAAGCGGTTTAACGCACACAAACTATAAGCTCGCTGAAATACGTATTACATCTTCGATTATTTATATTACATATATTTATTGCTTATAGCGAATGGTGGCCGACCCTGTGTGAACCTGAATACCAGCAATCTAACAAAACAAAATATTCCAGTATTGCCAACATTCTCTGCGGCATACTTCAATCGAGTGTAGTTTTCGTCTCAGTTATCCGGCTTTAACCTTATGCACAGTCTACCACAGTCGAGACTCCTCAACTCCAGACTCTCAATTACAGACTCACACTGTCTCGTTTTATCAATGTTCGTCATCACATGGACATCGGTCGCATAGACAGAGGGTCAGGGTAAGAGCTAGTCAGCTCTCGTGCCCAAGCGCTGTTACATTTATTACTGTCCATTCCTCCCAGCAGTTTCAATGGTTATGCCGTCTCCTTAAATGTGTATGCCTCAGAATTGAACAAAGTTAAGCTTCATGCAACAAAATATCATAAGTCTGTTGCAATGGACGTCCCCGTGTAGAGCGGCCCGAGTGCCCCTATCTAGTCCATACACAGGTACACCTCCATGCCCCCACTTCTGACTGTCAGAACTTGTGGCTGTGTTTATAAAGGATCACCTACATCCACCTGTGAAGATAGATGGTATAGGTTAAATGCTCGGAGACCCATGAGGGTGAGAGCGACTACGAGAGCAAATGGACAAAGGAACGAGACATAACAAAAAGAAGCAGTCGCTCACAGTAACAGGAATTCTATGGTATATGGTTGTATATGAGCTTTCATTTGGAGATTGTTAGCGCGCTATTTTATTAGCACTTCTCTGCGTTGACTTGGCTGGATATAGGAGAATAATGCGCAATCATTTTTTTATAGCTCATGATCGTTATTCTAGCATTTAATTGTATAGTAACTTTGAGATTCTCTAGACAGATTTCTCCTATCTAATAAGCACTACTGCTGATGACACATTGTGCCATAGTTAACTACAAGTGCTTGAATGAAGAATGACATTAACAACACGAGGTTTGTACAAATATCAGTATGTACTCCATATAACTAAGGGCTTTGATAGCGACTTGCAATCTCCCTCTCGATAGTTATGTATGATACTTGTCTAGTGTTATCGACATTATTGAACGAGTAGCGTTTTCATAAATTCTCGCCAAAACGTTTGTAACTTGATGAATGAATAAAAACTGGAAATGTTTACCGAATTTCTCGCTTTGTAGTTTGCTGGAAGATTCTGCTTGCTTTTACCATACAAATGAAACGGGGGTGGAATATATTACAAATGGTTTTATAGGGGATAGAGTGGTTGAGTACTTCTACTTGTTTAAGTCCAATATAGCATAGATGATTAACTGAAGATAACGAGACGACATCACTCAACAGAATTGTGTGATGTATCATATGATTGTTTGCCGCTACTTCGTCTCTTAGACCTCTCCTCTGTCACTATGAAGCGTCAGTATCCAGAGAAGCGCAAATGATTCATTCAAAAAAGATAAAATACTGCACTAGATACTAGTAGTCGAAAGGCGTCTTCTTGCCTATAGCGCGCAGTGCTCCTTCTACTACTTCATTGCTAGTTAGGCTAGTAATGTGTGCTCCTCTCTGATAATATCGGCCCTCATATAGTTGTCCTAGTTCTGATCTTTCTGTCTCTTGTAATAGTGTTACTCCTCTTATCCTCTCAATACTTCATCTTCGCTGCTGCACGCTGTCCTGGTTGGTCTTCTCACTCTCGTCTCAAATTCATGTTTTTTATCCAGAACACATAAATATCCGACACAGTCTTTATTGTCAGGGGGAGTGCTTCCTGGATCAAATAGTCTAATTTTTTATATGATGTATCTCCTGTCCTCTTTGTTCTTCTGTTCAAACTGAAAACTCGTCTGTTCCAGCTTGTGATGTCATTGTGGCAATACAGGCATACAGTGCCCTACATCATTGTGTTCCTCCATTCCTGCTACACCATACAGCTCCCTGTACACATCAGAATGCTACTTATTGATGAGTGAAATGCGCTCCTTCGGTGTTGCTTTGCCAGACTCTAACAGATCGCCTATAACTATAAGAGAGTTAGTAATAAAGTCAAATTTATTCTCTGTATCTCACCTATTGTTGACATCTCGTGTTAAAATTAAGTCTCTACAAGATTTAAGACAGCTCACAGGTTATGACAAAATATTAGGGACATTTAAGTCATGCTCATATAAACTATGTATATATATTTTTGGTAACAATACTTCATAATTATTTATTCTCTATTTGATTTAAACTGTACCAGACTCGTAGTGGCTGCTATCAATGGATAGTGAAATGAGAAAATATCTGTGACCTACATATACTCGTAGGGTTGTAGTGGTTATTTGGTCAATATTGTAAAATTCACAGACATTACACAGGAGGCAAAATAGTATCTCGAATTCTGTATTGTTCTTCCAGCGTATGCAGCAAGCGGACAAGAGCTTAAATCACTGGCTGATATATAAAGATTTGTCACTACATTTTCTCTTCTGTAGACAACAAAACTCAGACCAAAGACTCTCTCCGATAATTGTGTTGTTTTTTTTTCATTTCGATTCAGTGTGGCTTCCTAGCATCCTCTAGCATATATATGAGCAGTAAGAAATAAAATGTACAATAAAAATATATCATGTTATCTCGTATACCATCTCGCTCTGCTCATCTTCTAATGAAGACCTATGGCGACTAGAAAAAACATAGATGGATGTGTTCTACAAAATGAATATGCTCGATGATTAGGCTGTATTATCTCCTTAATAGCTGTCAATAGTGTGTGTGTGTGTGTGTCTGTGTAGTGTAGTATGCATGTCTCGTGTCGTGCTGGGCTGATCGTAGCGAAAGGCTCTCTGTTCCTCACCACTCAGTGAAAAAAACAAAAACCTATTCCTACATGCTCTCAGCACCATCTGTGCTTATCTCTATCTTACTTTATTGTTCAAGAACAAGCTATCCGCTAAAATACAGCTTATGACGCTCTCGCTCAGAAAGTTTATAGCGTATGTCAAGCGAGTGGTGAGGCTGGAACTATATCTATTGGGAAATCATTTAGGCGTCTTACGAATATATATTCGATTATTGAGACGAGTCAAAGATAATTTTTCTCATAGCACAGGCACCATTTATGTGGTGATTAATTCTTTCTATTTAATATATTTGAAAAATCAAAGAAAAGTCATTAGTACAGGAATACTGCACGCTCTAAGTTCTTTTATTTACCTTAAATTCATCCTTCAGCCAACAACACACATTAATATTTAAAACAATGGATTAAATAAATGTATACCAACATAGCGAGACTCAGAGAAATTTTTAGTAATGACACACAAAATCTGACAATCTTGAAATACACTGAAATAGGTATTAACTCAATTACAGATATTGCTTGACAATTTGGATAATGTTCACTCGAATGAGTGGTAAGTGACTAGACCTGCTCGCTATATTTTATACTCTACATACCAGTAATATGTGCACCAATAAGACTGTGAGATAATGCGACTCATTTGTTTCATGGCTATTTTCATAATACTTTGCTATAATGCTTATAGTTTTTCTTAGATATTTGACCAAATTATATAAACTCACCTTAGTTGTGATAAATACTAGTTTAAAATGCCCGACGATGCCCAAGGAACTGACTCAATCATTTGAAGTGTTCCCATTGCACGTTATATTGGACTAAGATTCTATATTACTCAGCTAGCATAACTGCGAGAGACTATATTTCAAGTATAATAGTACTTCAATATTGATAGTAAATTACTGTTCAAGTACTTATAACATGTTGACTATTTATTTACGTAATATCATACTTCTCTGATTTTGATACGACTGGATTACATTTCGAAATGCGAAAACTCATCATAATGTGTTGTGTCTTATGATTAAGAGACCTAGCTAATCCACTTGGACCGCAATGTTTTTTAAATAGTCGTATATATCCATCTTAATTAAATTTATAACTCTGGAATGAACCCTTTGCTTATATGAGATCATTGCATAATAATAACATAACTCACTTGGAGTCCATGATACAGAATTATAGGCTCGAACTAATATAGGTCTCCTAACTAAGGAGCTGCAAGTACTTTTTACAGCAATTTTCTCGATCTGTTTCTCTCTGGCAGCCTTTCAGAAGCTTTCCTTTACACACACGCAGCTGCACTCGGAAGTTGACATATTTTGTCTTACACATACAATTTTTACGATACATATGTATTTCAATATCTCTCCCCTCTGACACAGTAATGTACTATGTGTCCGTATGTGTGCACACATTTATATGAATTTTTGATCCCTATTTTCGATTTAGTGAGACATTGTAATCTCAAAAGAAATGATCTTAAGTGATACTTCAGTCTTGTTCTTTGACCCTATTTTCTTATTGTGCTTTCATTTAATTACTTATACACATTGAACAGGTGGCTCAGAAGCCATTATAAGTCTAGTGTGCATATTTGGGGCGACATACTCACTTCTCTTGTTATAAAGTTAAGTCTATATTCTTTAGTTTTATTTTGAAATTGTGTCAATGGCAATCAGGACTCTTTGTCTTATACTGCTCATCAGATCTTTTCTGTGCCAGGAGTCTTCAGATTTCTCATACATTTATCTGCTGCTTAGTCTTATGAGAGCTTTTCTCCTTTCACATTGATTTCGACCACACGTATAATGTGTGTATTTCATGATTTTGATTCATTCATATTATTTTGCAAATTTTGTACCTATGTTGAGTTTTATTAGTGATAATGGATAGATGCACGCGTCAAGACTGCTCTAGAAGGGTGATCACGATATTCTTCGTACAATTTCTGCATAAAATAGTTCGTGGTGTGGAGCTCCAGTTGCAAAAAACATAACCGCTGAGGATGATATCATGTATTGCTGCATATTTTGGTGTGTTTCTTGTGGCATTTGCGCTCTTTGTTCTCCTCTATTTATCGCAGCATGACGTGACATTTTGCTTGCTTACATAAATGCCATGTTTTCTCGCAGTAATTTAATATTCATGTGTACTCCTACCAACAATAACTCTCAGGTACTCGTGTTATCTGATTTTTCCCTAATACAAGACAGCGTTCTCCTCATAATATATCTAAGTTTCTAGATATATATATCTAAGGGCTGTAGTCTTTGTCATTGCTCAAATGCAATTGACTATTATATTCTTAAACACTCCTTATTGCAATCTCCTTGCTGATGTCATGTGTAATCCAGGAAGAACTCCTACCTCGTGTGCGTATGATTTCAAACATTGCGTGTCACCTACATCCTTCGCTAAAGGTATACGATGATGTCCTAGATAATAATCTCTGGATTTTAAGTGTGTTCAGTCTTCGGAATTGCTCATATCATCATGCGTGAGTAGCTAAAAATAAAAATTAAAAATATTATAAAGAACATATACTATATTGGATACTCTGCTTATATATGGTAAGAGACAAACTATAGCATTGTTATACTAAACTCCGGGTTTCTTTGAGTGTCACCATTTTGTGTTTGTGAATCTCTACTTTCTGTTTTGTCCCTCAAGGTTCGAGCGTTTTGCCTCTCTTTACATGGTGGTACAGGGTAACTACGCTCTGCGTCCGTCGTCAGGAATTGAAGCGGACTTCCCCAGTAAATTTTTAATCACTAAATAATAATATCTCTTTACAGTTAACCGTCTAACATGCTATAGTGGAAAACTATAACTGTATAGTACTTACACATGTGAGTTTACTTAGGAAATAGATAAAAAAAAAAACACTTCACATTATAAAAAACACTTTACATTTAAGAGTTTCTATTCCAAATTGAAATGCTTTTGATTTGATGAAATTAGTTATATTTAGTCCTATAGTCCTCTAGTATTTTATCACTAGTAACAATTACTGATGAACTGGATAATTAACATTAACATTCAGAATGCTTATACTCTCCTCATCTCTTATCCCTGTTTTTGTTGACTTTTATGTGAAGCACTTTGATCAGCTGAAGTTGTTATAAATGCACTATATAAATAAGCCACTGAAATCAAATTGAAATGAATATATGAGACAGGCCAGTCTTACAGTTCAATGCAGATCATTGACATAGTCTAACCAAATCACTTTGCAATGATGGAGGATCTTCTTAGGCACAGTTTCTCAATTTGTGGCCCCGTCTTGTCTCTCTACTATTCATAAAGCACAGAAAGCCAATTTTTGAAAGCACTGTTTAATTAAAAGGAAAAGTATTTATTGTAGTGATTTGAGGAAATTATAACATTAAAAAGATATATTTTCTTTCCGATTGTTAATTTCTGAATGTTGAATTTTTCATCACTCTTAAACCTGTGGACACCTAGAACTCTCAAAACACATTAAATGCCTTAACCTTAATTAACCATTATCCTCTCCTCACTACAACCTTGTAACTGTTTAGAAATGTATAGGGGAGGAAAATGCTATTAAGCCCCACTATCAGAAATATGTGATGGGCTCCTCCCTTAAGCCAATTCTAATGCATGTCGGTTAACATGTGTGATTGTGATTCATGGAGTTAGAAAGTGTTATGGGGTCCCTCTCTGCATGTGCCACACTTTACAATACTTCATGGGGTTCTATTTGTGTGTCCTTATGCGCACGACTGTTGTGAGGAACCCAACTGTTATTCCTGTGGGTGATGGAGCTGAGCATAGAGAAGGAGATGCAGAGGAGAGGTTACACAAGTGCCCTCCCTCAAACACACTAACATAACATTTACACACATACACAAGTTATATGAGTTAAGTTAAAGAGTTTCCTCATCAAAAACATACCTGGAGTTGTGTTTAGTTTCATTCACACATTTAACACACCCATTCTGCATATTTAGGCTGAGTTCTTCTCTCAAACAGAAAACACCTTGTTCCACCTTGTGATGTCATGTGGTAATACAAGAAATGCTCCACTGCATTTTTAAACTTCATACATCCTCACTAGAATAATTTGGATCATTTGAGCCCTGGAATTGCTAACCTTTACTAGACTAAAGGTAAAATATAGCTGTTTACATGAAAACAGTTTGATGACCTCACAAGGTGGAACAGAGCAATTTGAGTTTTGGAGATGTAGACAGATTAATAATAAAGGATGACTCAAACATGTGTGAATAACAACAATAAAACAAAACACAACTCCAGGTATGTTTTTGAGGAAGTAACAACAGTTTAACATGGCTAAAAGCTCACAAGAGTCAATTTTGTGTAATATAGGAACTTTAAATTACTTTTATTCCTTTCATTACTATAACTATTATATTTTTATGACACCATATTTCCCTTCCTAAATGCACCCTTAAACCCTGAATACAGTATTTAGTGATAGATCATGTCCATGCAAATCTTTGGTGACAGTTTCCATGTGGAGTGTGCTGCTCCTGTAGAGAGGCTGTCCATTCACAGGTGATGTCCCTCTCCACAGGGAGGACATGTCAGAAAACCCTGGGGTGTCCCTGTGATACTGTGGGACAGGGAGGACAGTGGACCCCATGCCGCTGCAGCTCTATACAACAGAAAAGACACACTGCTGCATGTGGAGACAAAGCATGTGAAAGTGTGAGGGATTGCCAGGATCTGCAAGACCACAATGCACTTATAATAACTATTTAAGTATAATGTTTCTATTGGAAAAATGGCACGATTTTAGATGTGATACTATGTTATTTATACTATGTGTTATTTATAAAAAAAATATATATATAAAAAAATATATAAAAATGAATTGAAATGGATTGAATCTACTGATGTTTTGACATATTGAAATGTTTAATTACTAATAGTAGAGTTATAATGAGTAGAGTTATTATGTAGATTCACAGCGTTCTGTTCTGAATATGGGAGGATGATTTGCTGAAAATGCTATAAGAAAAAAGGAGTAATTGGGAATACTAATACTTTTATTTAAGACCTTTAATTCCAAGGAATCTCAGACTGCCTGCACAGAGAAAGCAAACTCAGTTATCTAAAATAACTTAAAAAAAAAACAAAAAAACACTAAATATACTATAATCAACAATTAAAAGTCTGACTAAATCAAAATTGTCTTCAGTTCTGCTTTAAAAGTCTTTACATCAAAATGCCGAGAAATATAAATATATTTTGGGTATACTGTGCAAAGCTGAATGAATGAAAATCTGCACAATTCTCCTGATTATTGACAGTCATTTTTCATATTCATGGGTAAGTTTGTAAGCATTGGTCTTTCTTTCTTTCCTCTGCAGAGTGCACCTATAGCTCCAGAGTGGGTGGAGCTGTCCTCAGGGGGGATTTACAACATATGGAGCAAGCAGGAGCCACATGCAGCCCCATGCACTCATGAGGGGACTGCTCTGACTCTGTTGGTTCAGCTAATCTTGACTAAGCCCTGCATGTATGCTCACACTCACACACTGTACACATCCACTGTCAGAGAACTGGCATCGCAAATACACACAGCTTACATTAAGAAAAGATGTATGATTTTTAAGTGTTGCTGAGTGATAAGAGACAGGAGGGTTAAGGCCAGACAAGTACTATATTATACTCTTGAAAGCTGCTTTAATGTTAACAGTGAATATGTATATTGAGAATAACAAGTCATTTCAGTTCTTGCATTCAACTGATAACCTTTCCTTTGGGGATTGAATAAAATACTACCTTTTCTACAGGGTGATGAGGATGTGCTTTATTACTGAGAGCCTCAACTTCAAAAATTATGAGCGAATATGTTTCTGGATCTCAGTCAAAGTAGAAAACAAAATATACTTTTCTTTTACTTCTACTACTTTCAATTTTCCCTTCTTTTAAAACTGCAAGTCTGAACTGTGCATAAGTTAGTAGATCTAAGACAGATGATTGATTTCCTTACAGTCCAACATAAGCACAGTAACATTTACCACAAAGTACAAATCCTGAAAATGTATGCACGTAAACGCCTGGACATGCATAAGATAACACAGAGAGAGCAGTGAGGCCATAACCATCAATATGTCACTCACTTCTAACATGAGATAGGGACAATAACTCATGTACCAGCTAGCTACCTCTTTTCAAAACCTACACCTGATTCAACAAAGCTAGTCCATTTCTGCAGCTGTTTATAGGCAGCCACTACTGTCTGCAAGGGTATTATTTGAGAATCAGCTTTTGCAATCAGTTCTTGCAGAAAAAAAACAATATCATAGATCAGAAAATAGGGTAATACGGGCCATCTAAGGCATGAAGTAACATGTAATTAGCAGATTAGAACATGTGGATGAGTTGAAGACCTAATTTAAGAATCACAAGGTTAAAGGTTACTTGAAATAAAAATGACTGACCAATAGTCTATAAAGTGACATGTTAAGGGTCAGATGTATTATTACCTCCAGACTGGCACACTCCTGTTGTTCACGGGACAATTGACCGTGACCAGCAGCAGCTCATGATGGCCTCTGAGGGTCAAAGGGAAGCCTGTCCTGGAGGGCCCCAGGGTGCTCCATTCAATTCAAAACAATTGTTTAAGCACTTGATGAGATTAGATACATATCTCAAAGCTTTATACCTCCATTTGAAAAGACAAGAACAGCTAAATCAAGAGTCCTGAGAGGATTGTTGGATAAATAAGGTGGGGAAATGATGACACCAAAGAGGCAAAACATTATGATCAGTGAGAAACAACATAAATCTGTTCATCAATGTACCTGCAAGTTGACAGGGCTTACATTGAGTCTTCAAACTGATAGAAGCATGGACAGGGCAAATGTAATGGCTAAACAATGCACGCAACTGGTTCAAAATAGTAAAGTACATTTTATTGACCCCATAGAGAAATCTGTCCTCTGCATTCAACCCAGTATTCAGTGAAGCTGGAGTCCCCGGGGTGGGGGTGTAGCCTGCTGTGCAGTTTTTAGTACAAACAGTGTCCGGTCCAACCCAAAACACAAGATGAAGCTGTTATCAAAGATGTAAGAATGCACAGACCCTAACTTATTTTGCCTGTTGAATATTGCCACCAATACTAGACTGAAGAACATACAGTATGCAACAAACTGACGTACATGTAGTCATTATAACACTGTAACCCTAAGAGCATTCACCTTCACTGTTTCCCTGAGTCATGATTGCTCTTTGACAGTGGAGCTGGAAGACAAACGCCCCCGGTCACCTTTGAGCGTGTGCTGAAACATTCATGAAGCCTTATGACCCTCTTCCTCACCTAATGTTCCCTAACAGGGCTTTATGACTTAGCCCTAGCCTAGCGCCACCTCACTGCTCCTTTCCCGGCATCTAACTCTTTAACGTCCCGCGACCATGTGCCCTTTTAGCCCTTTCAGCGATTCTCCTTCCCCTCGTTTAGTAAGTGACTTGACCAGACTAAAAATGGCTGCAGCAGCACTTAGCTTGATTACCAGGTCAACACAATGGTCAGACTGCAGGTAGTGGTCAGTGGACGTCTCCTCTCAGTGACTTTGCAGCACTGAGGCCTGGAGACCCCTGGTCAAGCTTCACGTGTGGTCACTGACGGGGCTTTGTAACTGGACCCTCGGAGCATTGATCTGTTAAGATTGTCACTTTAAAGAAGAGCCGCCATTAGGGTGGGAGCTTTGACAGTTGATATCAACATCAGTGGCTGTTGTGACAGATTTGGAAATGACGAGGGGATAGGGTTCAGTGGAGGGGTGTGCCAGGACAACTACAAATGAACAGGATTACACAGGACCTATTAAGAATCTACATTTGGGATTCTCAAACACTGGTTCATTCCAAAATACCTTTTTTCTGGGTTCTCACAAAAATATTTTAGATAGCTATTCTGATTCTATTATTTCAGGTAATAGCTAGATGTTTTTCTGTCCCAGAGTAGAATCAAAATAGAAAAGAGAAGTTGAATTGTTAACTGCTCAAGTACAGCTAAAAATGTCCATTGAAAAGGAGTCCAATTTTTGACTTTCTCAAATAGGACACGTATGCTCCAATATTTGTTTTAATTTATCTTGAAAATTTAAAAAGTAATAATGTAAAACTGTGTGAATGCCCGGTCTCAGGACAATCAAGAGTATGAATTGCCTATTTATTTGTGGCAATAAAAGTAAAAAAAAAAAAAAAAGAAGAAGAAAGAAAGAAAGAAAGAAAGAAAGAAAAGAAGTTGATGGGTAAAGTTAAAACAAGAGCAAACATTGCAATAAGATCTTGACAAAAAATATAAAAGTATACATCAGATTTTGTCAATATTGTAATCAAACTACTAAATACACTGCTTCGCCAAATTACAGATATTCACCAAATGGGACATCAAAATAAACTTAAGAAAAGACCATGAACAAAATTAGGTACTTGAACCAACTCCAGACTGCAGTTACCTCAAGTATCTTTTAGTGTCTATTGAGCAGGTGACCTTATCTTGTCATTGCTCTGTCTGTGTGTGTCCTGCTGCTGTTACTCCACAGGGACCGGGGCCTATACGCACTATATGTTTTACTGCATCCACCGTCCTCCCCACCGTGTTTACCTCTGTGCAATGGAAAAAAGCCATATGCTAAGTGGACTAGCGTTACGGCTCTGGTTACAGGGTGCACCGACGGGCCCCACACACACCGGACTCAGGGGCCAATAATGTGAGGGCCCCCATTGATCTGTTTGTGTCTTTCTTAACAATTTCAAACACATGAGATGTATCTGAGCCCACACAATCTTTTGATGGCTATTGATTCATCTGCTAACACAAGGCTATTAATTAGAAGTGGTGATCAGATCTGCTTTTTGAATCTAGATTATCAAATGTCCTACAGTATTCTTGACTTGTATGTGCACTAAGGTGGGTAGAGTACAAAAAAGTACTCACAAGTAAGAGTAATATTACTTACAAATCATTTTGAAAGGATCATCATTATAACTGACGGAGCAGCGCAAGAAATTCAGTAAGATAGTCGCACTGTAAAATAGTATTACTCTATAGACATAAAGAATAGTGTTTGAAAACTAATCAGAAAAGTACTATTGTATGAAAAAGTAACTCAAGTAAATGTATTTGAGTACTTCAGACCTCTGTATGATGTATGTAGTATTGACTGGATTAGCACTGAATATGGATACGGTAAAATGCACTCCACATTTCTTATAATCTTATCTTTTTTTCAGAGAACTCAACCAAAAGTGCACAGCTCGGCAACTCTTTTATAATTCTTTCATGGGGATGTGCTGACTCCTGCATTCTCCTATGGATTTGTAAATTCAATACTTCTGAATATTTGTCTTACAACCCCAAGTCATTTGCAGTTTCTCTCTTCTTAATGCTGAACCATATCCTGTTGTGATGCTTTATTTTGCTTGCTGCTTGGAATAGGAAGCAAGGTAAGATTAAAGGGTTGCTAAATTCTCAGCCATAAACAGTACAGACCTTACCCTAATCTAGAGCTCTCATAATTTTTCTGAACATTGCTCTAAATTATGTTATGTTATTTAAATTCCATTCTGTTGACTGTATGCAGTGTTGCAAAGCTGATGTAAGAAATACAAATGTTCAGATAATTTCATATTGTTAACATACAGCTTGTGTTACTTGACTTACTCAAAGTGGGAAGAGTAACCACAACTTTTAGTCAAGTAAGAGTACTGTTACTTCAATAAAAAATATTACTCAGGTATGCCAGTATGCTGCTAGAAAAGTACAATTTCTTTAAAAAGTGACCCCAGTAAATGTAACTGAGTACTACCCACCTCTGATCTCAGCACTTCTATTAACACAGTAGACTTTTACATACACGAGCAGGTAAGTGGCAGTGGTGCATTATGATATATATGCATGTGTATAAACAGTTACTAAAGTTAAATAATATATGTACACTTCATGACATCATTTTACAAGGGGTCTCACACATGGGCTGCTGAGGCTTGAGCTGCAGATCAATGTGTCTGAAGAAGGCTGCCGTTACATTAATGGTCTACATCAACTTAAGAAGCACTTCCCAGAAGACCTTGCTGCCCACACTCAAATACAACTGTAGGGAAACAGAAGACAGGGGTCAATAGGAATGGTATGAGTCCTTGTTGTCTTTTGTTTAGTCAAGACTACACCAAGTCATGAAAGTGAACATTTAATTTCCCAAACAATGGATTCTTGTGAGCTTTAAGTCACATTATAATGTTGTTACCTCATCAAAAACATATCTGAAGTTGTTTTTTGTTTCAGTCACACATGTTTGAGTAACCCTTTATTATCAGTCTGTCTACATCTCCAAAGCTCTGTTCCACCTGATGGCATGACATGGTAGTTTTCAAATTAACATCTACCTTTAATTTATTTTTATTTTTCAATATAGATTGGCAATTCCAGATCTGACATTGTCCAAATGATTCTAG